CAACCTGTCACGCTCTCCTCGTTTCCACCCTGCTTTTCCATCCATTCAGTATCCCTGCTCCTCTTTGCCTTCTCATCTTTGTTTTGGGGAAATATTTCCAGCTTGGTCTCATAGAGGTGATTGCTGTAAGGAACACTTTCCTTAAGGGTGTTATTGTTTATTTTACAGGCCAATCTATTATCTGGCTGAAAGGTGACCCCTGAGAGTGACTTCAGTTCCAGGTAAAAAGGACGTCTTAGGGTGATAGTCTCAGGGGTTCCTCCAGTCTCTATCCAGTAAGCCTGATCATTTTTATGAATTTGAGTTGTGTTCTATTGTGTCTGGGAAAGACACACTCTTATCAGTAAGTGAATGAAATGTAATCAAACCAAATAAAGTGTCTGAAAGATTACCATGCTTGCCTGCTGATTATATTACTAAAACTAATTAAAGCTGGTGTTAGATATTATGACAAAGGTAAACCAATAAAACTGCTGATACAAATGGTAGAAATCCATAACAGTGAAGAATTGCAAGTCTTATGAACAATGGCAAGATATAAATCACGATGATCCAAATTAAATTTTATTGACATTGACTATTATCTCCCAGACGTTGTATTACGTGTTTGTAGTGGTTAGGGGGATGGATGACTTCCCAGCAAAAAATACAGTCTACATAGTCAGTCTGGTAATTCTTTTTTCCCTGTACCAGAAATTTGATTAGGAAGGAATATATGATCCTTTTATTAGTGATGACATAGGAAGAATATCTTCTGTATGACTCCATGGAAAGGTCTATTGAGGGACAAACAGTCTTGTGTCTATGAACATTAGGTCTGGATATGATGCCCCATTCCATTGCAGCCACCTGTGTGATCATGAGAGGAACCATCCCTAGGATGAAGCTATCCCTTGGAGGACTGAATAAAGCACTCCTGCCCAGTTTTTGTTTTTGCATTCTTTATCTCAGAAGACTTTGTGATGAAAGGTAACTTTCTTGTTTAAGCATTTTAGAGTTACGGTTTATATTTTCTTAGAAACAAAGTCTTCAGATAAATTTCAATTATCAGACAATCATCTTAAAACAGTGAGATAATCCAGATATGCTAGCTTTATTGATTATGTAGGGGAAATATAGTGGTTCAGTGGTAGACTTCTTGCCTCCATTTAGGAGATGCAGGTTTGACTCCTGGCCAGGGAATGCCACGTACAGCTAAAATCTGTCTGTCATTGGAGGACTGAGAGTTCTTATGTTGCTGAACAGGTTTCAGATTAAGATGAACTATGAAGAATGGCCTGCCATCTATTCCTCAAAAATCAGCCAATGGGGCCCTATGATCACAACACTTCTGTCTCATTGTACATGTGTTGCCCTCAGTCAAGGGCCAATAAGGCAGCAGCTAAGGACAAGATCAGCAATAACAAGAACAATAGACAATTAAACCGAGTTTGGTGAATGTTGATGTTACCCTGGACATGTATGGTTTACAAGGACATGTCATGGTAATGTCTAAATTTCAGCATGAATGCTTAGGTCTCTTGTCTTGCAGTGAGAGTAAGCCTGAGTTTCCATTCACATGGCCCTATCAATGATATCAGACTGAAGCTAGTCTCTAGTTATTCCCACAGCCTTGTCTACGTCTTTTTCCTACGCTTCCACTGCCTTCTGCTTTCTTTATTCTGAGGAAGTGACCCTCAACTAAATCAACCTTGCCTCAGGCTCTGCTTCTATGAAACCTGATTACAGAAACTGACTTTAGAGAATGAAAATAATTAGCCAAACAGCACAGAGCTACACACAGAGTAAAATCACATTTCAAACTTAAGTTGAATTGTATTTACCCATTATGTTATCTTCTCATTTTAGAAGAATATGACGATGGTAGAGTCACACATTCTGCCTCACAAGTATTCTTGTGCATTGATGCAATCTAGAAACCTAAACCTAAAGTAGGTAATAAAATCACTGGAAAGCAGATATGCTCCTGATAATTTTTCTTAAGGCCTCCTTCACATCCCTGTTTCTCAGGCTGTAGATAAAGGGGTTCATCATGGGGGTGACCATGGTGTACATCACTGAAGCTACTGCAATCATCCTGGAAGAGTGTGTGAATGCAGCACTAATGTATGAACCAAAGCCTGTCCCGTAGAACAAGGAAACAACTGAGAGGTGAGACCCACAAGTGGAAAAAGCTTTATACATTCCGTCCACTGATGGCATTCTCAAAATGGAGGAGACAATTTGAGTATAAGAGAAAATGATTCCAGAGAAAGGAACACCACCTAATATTGTAACTGCAAAATATAAGAAGATGTTATTGATGAGGGTATCAGAACAGGCAACCTTGATGACCTGAACAACTTCACAGAAGAAGTAAGGAATTTCTAGGTCTGTGCAGAAGGACAGTCTCAACACCATGAGACTGTGGAGCATGGCATCCACGATGCTAATGAACAAGGAGAGTAGAATCAGTAGACCACAGAGGTGGGGGTTCATGATGACCATATATCTCAGTGGGTGACAAATGGCCACATAGCGGTCATAAGCCATTACTCCAAGGAGAAAATTTTCCAAAACAGAAAAAACCAGGACAAAGTAGATCTGAGTGAGACAACCTATATAAGTGATGCTCTGATTCTGTGCTTGGAGGTTCACCAATATCTTTGGGATCGTGGTTGTGCTTAAACAGATGTCAGTAAAGGACAGATTGGCAAGAAAGAAATACATGGGGCTGTGGAGGTGGGAGTCAGAGGTGACAGCTAGGACAATAAGCAGGTTTCCCAGGACAGTGACCAGGTATATGGACAGAAACAGGCTGAAGAGGAGGGGCTGCAGTTCTAGATCCTCTGTCAGTCTCAGGAGAAGGAATTTTGAAATACATGTTTGATTTATTGGTTCCATATTGTTGACGAATATGATGGAAAAGATATGATAAGACGATAAACCATGTGGTTCCTGGACCAGTGGCAGCTGCATTACCAGAGGCAAGCATCATCTTTGGAAAGAAGGAGGAAGAATAAAAAGGAAAATAAAAGGGATGTCTTCATTATGCTATTTTGTTACTTGAAGAGATAACTGGATACTGATATAGTAAAGCAATCTGGAAATTGCTAAAACGGTGGTCATGGTTTTTGGTTGTTTGTTTTTGTACAATCTGCTGGCATGACCATTTATATATTTGGTAATTTTATAAAAACAGACTTGTAGATTAGGGGAGCAGCCTTTTGTGTCTATCTGTGTTTCCACTTCCTTCATCAGAGATCAGAGCCAGACATCAGAGATAATACAAAGGCATGTAAACAACTAGAAATGGGAAGATAAGGTGAAGCCAAAAAACCCTTCCCCTACACAAGAACACAAGAACACTATGAGTTGGGGCCGACTCGACGGCACATAACAACAACAACAACA